CACGTTTCCGCTATTGCAGACAGTGTCGCAGGGAGACTCCCCACAGGACATCGGTGTTTATGGGAAGAATCCTCTTATTGTGGAGGAATTTCATAGCACAGAGCAGCGGGGGAGGCCGCGCTCCCACCCACCCGCACCCTCGCCGCTCCCTCCTGCTGACACCGGACGTTCCCGCAGCTCCCTCGTCGAGGCCCAGGCACACGCCGTCGGCACCCACAGGGTCACCTCCAGGCTGTGTTCGGATTTCATCACTCACAGGTTTTTGTCTGTGTTTGATGATTTCTTTAAAATAAGTTCCCCGGAGTGGAACTGCAGGTCAGAGGGAGGAAATGGAGGGTACACCCTGGTCCCCGCCCCCATAAATCACCGGGAAGCCTCAGACGCAACCGACGTGAGAAGGAATTGAAAATATCCTTGTCGCCCTGGCTGGTGTGGCTCAGTGGATGGAGCGTCGGCCTGCAGACCGAAGGGTCCCAGGTTCCATTCCGGTCAAGGGCACATGCCCGGGTTGCAGGCTCAATCTCCAGTGGGGGGCGTGCAGGAGGCAGCCAATCAATGACTCTCTCATCATTGATGTTTCTCTCTCTCTCTCCCTCTCCCTTCCTCTCTGAAATCAATCAAATATATTCTAAAAAGAAAAAATATCCTTGTTCTCCACTGTTCGTGGTGTGTTCTCCATGACAGCCGCGAGGCGGAAACAGCCCAGGTGTCCGTCAGGCTGTGGACGGGTAGACACACGTGGTCCACCCACAGGGGGACTATTACTCAGCCGTGGAAAGGACTGCTGTTCTGCCCCGGCTAAGCGTGGGCGAGCCTCACAGACATTCGCTAAAGGAAATGAGCAGACCCCAGGGACGGGTGCCGTGACTCCGCTCCTGTGAGGCCTCCAGGGCTGGCCGACGCCGCGAGGCAGGGAGTAGACTGGAGGTTGCAGGGGCCAGGGGTGGGGAGCGGGAGTCATTGCTTCATGGTGTGGGGTTTCTGTTTGGGTGATGAAAAGATTCTGGGACTGGATTGCGGTGATGGTTGCTCAACATTGTAATTAATGCCATTGAGAGACGTGCCCTTAAAAATGACTCCAATGGCAGATTTTTGTGTTCTATATATCTTACCACAATTTAGAAAAGTTAGTAATGTAATATACCCAAAACTATTGATTTGTCTACTTTCTTTTTTTTAAAAAGTATTTTATTGATTTCAGAGAGGAAGGGAGAGGGAGAGAGAGATAGAAACATCAATGATGAGAGAAAATCATTGATCCGCTGCCTCCTGCACACCCCACACTGGGGATGGAGCCCACAACCCGGGCCTGTGCCCTGACCGGGAATTGAACCCTGACCTCTTGGTTCATACCACTGAGCCACACCCCCCAATCCGCAGCCCCCTTGGTCCACAGCCCCCCCAATCTGCAGCCCCCCTGATCTGCAGCCCCCACCAGCTATAGCCCCCTCCCCTGATCTGCAGCTCCCTGATCCGCAGCCCCCTGTGCAGCGACTCCGGGCTCGGCGTGAATGCGTCATTATTCCAGGCCCGACGGTGTGCTGGCCGCTCGGGGGCTGGCGGTGCTGGGAGCCGGCCGCTGCCAACGCCAGTTGTTTGACTTAATGTTTCCAGGCCAAGTCCTTTCAGGAAAGCCCTCTCCACCCCGGCGCCCCGGCTTCTCACCGTCACTCTTTCCAAATAATTGTGTGCACAGCTCACTCCTCCAATCACACAGCCTTCTCTCCCTCTCCCCGCCCCCCACTCCTACCAACACAGAGGAAATGGAGGCGGGTGAGGGTAGGCGAGCATTTCGGGGCTGAGGCTGGGGCTGCAGAGCCAGCCGTGGCTGAGGCCTGGGCAGGGAGGTGCCATGGGCGCCCGCCCACGGGAAATGCTGGGGCATCCACACGGTGTCCCTGTTGGCGCCCCTCATTATGCCTGAGATTTTTTTTTTTTTAAATATACTTTTATTGATTCAGAGATGACGAGTGGGGGGAGAGAGGGGAACATCAATGATGAGAGAATCATTGATCGGCTGCCTCCTGCACACCCCACACTGGGGATGGAGCCCGCAACCCGGGCCTGTGCCCTGACCGGGAATCTAACCCTGACCTCCTGGTCCATAGGTCGGTGCTCAACCACTGAGCCACGCGGCCGGGCTTGCCTGTGAGGTTTTACAAGGCCTGGCTGGTTAGTAATCGTCTCTGTATCATGCGCCCTGGCCTTGCCTTCCATGGGCCGCGGGGCTGCTCCAGGGCCGCAGGCCTGTGTGTGGGGCGGTGGAGGGTCCCCGAGAACCGAGGAAGGACCGGCTGTGAGATCAAAGCCGCCAAGTGAGGCTCGGACTGGCCCGTCCTCCCAAGCGGAGATGAAACAGGGAAACAAGATTCCCCTCGGGCGGTCCCAGGTGCCGCGGGCCACAGCGGCCAGTGTGGGCGCCGGCTCCCCCGAGGGCCGGGCTAAAGGGCCCCTCGCCGGGCGGCTCTGCCGTTTACGAGGTGCCAGCAGGACTGTGATGAATGAGGTGCAGCTTTTCACGGTGGAAGGTGCTCTGCCAAGCCCGGGGGAGGGGCCGCACCCCTGCCGCTTCCCTCTAGGCCCTGGTTTCTGGGCCTCAGTTTCCCCCTCTGATGGATGGGCGGACGGAGGAGTGCCCTCCGGCGGTAAGCGCGGGCGGGAGACAGACAGCCTGTGCCCGCTCTGCTCAGCCTCCCCTCGGGGTGCGGGCAGGCAGCTGTGTGGGGGGGGGGGAGCGGGGCAAGGCGCCCTCCCAGACAGCCTCCTCCCCAATCGGCGGCCTCGCTGGGCTGCCCCGGCAGTGCCTGTCCCTTCCGGTCCTGAGCCCCGGGTCGTCTATCTAAGGGAACACTGGTGCCACCCCCAGGACAGCTGAGGAGGTGCCGGCACGTTGCCCGGCTTAGAGTAACCCTGCCATCCACAAAGCCGCCTGGCCCAGCCCCCAGGTCCACGCAGGGTGGCGAGGACCTCGGCCTCCAGGAGGGGCCTGTTCATCGATGGGGAGCAGCTGCCTGTGCCGCTCCTTGGCCTGGGGAGTAAGTGCTGGCACCTTCTCAGAGCACCGAGTCCCAGCTTCTGTTTCGGAAAGTCACTCTGTGGGCCCAGCACCCACTGGGGCCTCCAGTCTGTGCCCGGCCTCTCCTGCCTGTGAACTGGGCAAAGGCTGGGGCAGGGGCTGCAGCCAGGGCTGGGGCGTCGGGGAACCTCTTCGTCAGCGTGAGGGAGTCTCCTGAGACCGCCGCACACCGGTGGGCAGCGCATGGCACACCCACCGCCCCAGGTGCCCGCGGGGAGTGCGCAGCGAGAACCGCACAGGAAGCAGCTGGCGCTCTGGGTCAGTTCAGGCTGACAAGGCACCACCGGCTGGAACCTGCGGTAAACAGCCAGTTCCTCCCTCCGGGCAGAGCGCCCCGGGCGGGTGCCAGGGTCCACAGGAAGTCCCTCCTCGGCCCGCCCGGCTCCCCTGACCGGGCCCGGGCCTGGGCCTGGGTGGAGTGGCCCTGCTCAGGCCTGGCCCGGGCACTGGCCACCATTAGGCCCAGACCAGGAGTCCGGTGTCTCCAGGTTCTGCCCGGGCAGCTCTCAGCGCCTCGTGGGATCCGTGTGGACCGTGCCTTTCCTTTCATTTATTTCCTCGTGGGTTTTCCACAAACACCGAGCCGTCCTCACTGCACTGGCCAGCACCCCGGGCCACCTCTCCTGGAGCCTGCAGGGTGAGGGGTGCCTGGCCCACAGGCGCTCGGTCTGGCCGAGGTCACCAGCACCTCGGTGGCGTCCAGGCGTAGACCGTGTCCCAGGCGCCACGGGAAGGACGCTAAAATGAGCGCAAAGCCTGCCACGCAGGATGGAGCCCCAGCTCCGCGCTCCCTGCCGTGGCTCTGGGCAGGTTCCGGCCCTCTGTGTCCGTGTCCTCATCTCGCGTGGACGCGTCGGATGCCCCGCCACGGGGCTGTGAGCACACGTGGGGCCAGGCGCAGCTGTCCCTTGTCCAGGGGGTGCGTGTGTGGCCCACCCACCCCCAAGCCAGGGACCTTCACCTGCACCCCAGGCCCCCACAGCCCACACGTGCACCCTCTGCTCTGCGCCCACTGCCAGGGGCACAGCTTTGCTGGTTTGTGGTTCAGCCCCCCACAGCCCCCCTCGTGCCCACACGTGCACCCTCTGCTCTGCGCCCACTGCCAGGGGCACAGCTTTGCTGGTTTGTGGTTCAGCCCCCAGTGTGTGGGACGGAGGCCCCATGAGACACAGGCCGCTGGCCAGCATGGAGGGGGCACTGGGCCTTCGGGGCGGGCGGGCGGGGCCCGGCGAGTACCTCCACGCACCGGTCCCCGCGCCCTCAGCAACGTCGTGTAGTGAAGACATAAAAGTCCGCATTTCCTCTGTGTCGGCAAACACCGCCAGCTGCTAATGCAGCCTTTCTTTTAATGGATCTTGAATTTAAATGACATATAATTAAACATAATTAGCCACGTATGCCGTTCGGCTAGTATCGTGTGCAGAGGGGGCTGGCCAGAATCTCATCACAATATGGCTTCTTTTTTTTTTAATATATTTTTATTGATTTCAGAGAGATGAAGGGAGAGAAACATCAATGATGAGAGAAAACCACTGATCGGCTGCCTCCTGCACGCCCCCTACTGGGGATCTAGCCTGCAACCCAGGCCTGTGGCCCTGACTGGAATCGAACCCAGGACCCTTCAGTCTGCAGGCTGACGCTCTATCCACTGAGCAACACCGGCCAGGGCCATAGGGGTCCTCTTTTCTGGGTAGATTCTCGTGCCCTCTTGGGGTTGCATTCCTTTGATGGACAGTAACACCGGCCTGAGGCCCTGGAGGGGCCCAAGGAGGGGATCCTGGGGCAGGTGCCAGGGACGTGACGACGAACTGGGAGGGGTATTTGCTGGGGGAGGTTCTGACCTCTGGCCCGCCAGAGAGCTTGTCCTGCCGCACTGCCAGCTGGGCCCCCGTGTGGCCTGACCGACGGCCTCTGCCCTCCCCAGGCCCAGCGACGAGCACCATCCCGAAGTGAAGGCTGACGGGTACGTGGACAACCTCGCGGAGGCCGTGGACCTGCTGCTGCTGCACGCGGACAAGTGACAGGCCTTCGGGGACGGTCCCCAGCCCCCTGGCACCACCCACCCACGCACCAAGTGCCCAGACCAACCCAGGCTCTGCCCTCACCCTCCACAGCAGGCGAGGGGCCCAGCCAGACAGTGTGGGTGACCAGCCCTTCCTCTCTCCCTCCCCGCCCCCTCCCCGGTGGCCTGCTCCCTGCCCACACAGCCCTGTGAAGCCAGGAGAGTGGGCTAGGCCTCCAGAGAAGAAAAACCCCCGGGCATGGGCTGGGGTACCCCGGGAATACAGGAACCCCCAAGTGCACGTGCTCTCCAGGGGCACCGGGTCCTGTAGATGCTCCTCCACCTGGGCCCCAGGCAGGTCCCGGCCTCGGAGCCTGGAGGACACGGGCCTTCCCTCAGCCCACCCAGCCCCAGCTGAGCCAGCCCCTGCCCGGACTCAGAGTGGCCACTCAGCACCCCCCTGCCCCCCACACACACCCCTAACGCAGCACACTGTCCTGTCCCCACTAGTCACCTGTGGAGCCCAAAGCTGGGGCAGCTCCCAGGGGCCTTTGGAGCAGCGCTCGCCAACCAGTGGGCCGTGGACCCCTGGTGTCCATGAGGTCCGAAAGGTTGGCGACCTGCTTAGGAGGCCCATGTGCTGCAGAGCGAGAATGGTCACCACTGGGATGGGCTGCAGGCAGAGGGCACTTCCTGGAGCCATAACTCCATAGACTCGAGCGTCACACCCACGGTGTGCAGGACACTAACCATGAAATAAACCACCCGGCCTGTGGCGACTTGGGCTTTGGCTGCTGAGGGCGGGGGGGCGGGGGGTGGAGAGGGGGCAGGGGGGGCTTGAACCACTGAACAGCAGAGGGCCGGGCCCTGGACTCCTCACCTGCCCAACCCTTTCATTTAACAGACTGAGGGGAAACTGAGGCCCCCCCCAGGACCTTCCATGTTCTAGGCACAGCCCTGTGGTCCGATGGGTGGCAAACGGGTTGTGCAATGAAGCGAGCCTCTCCACGGGCCTGCCTCCCCCTCGGGGTCCCTCACAAAGCCCCGTATTCCAGCTCCCAACAGTGTCCCCATTTTACAGACGGGCCCTGAGGGGCCCAGAGGTGACAGAGGGTCCAGGCCCTGCCCCTGTCGGGGGGACCCTCCGGTTAGCCACGCCCAACAGAAACCAGACAGACAGCTCCTGGCGGTTAGATATTAAACCAGGAAGCTTTATTTACACAGTAAAAGTAACAAGCGAATTCCTGAGACTAGAGGGCTCTAGTGCAAGACAGCGTGGCCCGTGGGGAGGGGGGCAGCCGCGGAGGCGGAGGTGGCCAGACCCCACCCGCCCGGGCTGCCACCCTGCCTGGAGTTTTGCGAAAGGACGCCCAGCCCCAGACACAGGCTCACTGTCCCCGAGCCCCCAGGACACCCCACACACCGACAACACAATTTGCCAGAGAGACGGTGCTAGGTCAGTCTCCCGGTCTGTGGCCTGGGACTTCTTCCTTTCGTCTTGTTCTTTAAAGAGGCCTGGTTTTCTGCGCTGGCGCCAGTGGGAGGGGTTTGAGCAACTGGGTGATTGGCAAGAGGCAGCCCATGGGCCGCACCCACGGGCCAGGCAGGGCCGCCACAGCCGGTGTCTGCAGGGACTGCTCACGCCCGGGCACACAGCCCGAGCGGCCATCCCTGAGGTGACCGCCCCAAGGCCAGAGGGCACGCCGTTAGCCTGAGCGGAGGCGGAGGCGCAGGGCACGGGCCGCTGCGCCCGATCTGTGGCAGGGCCACCTGGGAGGGGCTGCGGGGGTCGATGCCGGGGAGGCTGCTGCGACAGGCAGTGCCCGAAGGCCCTGGGCAGCACCGGCGGGTGGGAAGCCACACGCTCTCTGCACAGGGACACCCATTCAGACGTTAGGTTTGGTTTGATCACGTGGCTTCTCCTTTATTGACATTTTCTTCCGGCAAACAAACTCACAAAACTCTCCTGCTACAAAAATCTCGTTGAAAAGTAAGGCTTTCTGAGAATGGGAATCTGCGTTTTGTCAGGACACGCCCTGTGGCCGGGAGGCCGTGGGCCGTGGGCCCGGCCACGGGAGTAAGGCAAGCGGTTGTGGCACGTAAACGCTGAGGCCGGCAGCACCCCGCCCCACGCCCTGGGGCGGGCGGGGTTCACCACCATCATCGGGGCCTGGGAGCCCGGCGGCTGGGAGGGTGCTCCTTTGGGGTGAGGGGGCCTCTCCTCCCCACCCATCGCCCAGAGCCACGCCCCAGCCCTTGTTCTGCAGGACCCGGCAGCCCTGCCCTCCCTCCTGGCTGTGATGTCCTCCCGCCCCCTCAGAGTAGTTCATGGGCAGTGGCCATGAGGCAGGACCCTAACTAGAGAGGCTCCGGCAGGCGAGCCGCCAGCCTGCCCCCGGCCCCTGGGGACAGTCAACACAGGTCAGAGGGAGCCTCCCTCCAAAACCAGAGGGGCTGGGGGGTGGAGCAGATGGGCCTCTCTGGGCAGGGCAGCGTGGCAGAACCTTCTAGAAGAAGGCTGCCCTCTCCAACCAAAAGACAACCATACAACCAGCCCCAGGCTGTCCCCTCCCCTCACTGCTGCAGTGTGGGCTGTGGGCGTGGCCAAGGAGCTTCCGGGGCAGCACAGCCCAGAGGGGCCTGGAGACAGGAGAGGGCCAAGCCCTGCGGGGCTGGGGTCCCCCTTCCTGACAGTGCCCTGGGCGGGGTGGGGGTGGGGGGCTGGTGGACGGGACCCACAGGGGCAGGAGGGGAGGATGGGTCTGAGGTCACCTGCACCGCAGCCCTGGGCCACCCCCTGCCACATGGCTCCCTCCTTCGCCCGAGGAAAGGCATGTGGGGCCGCTGCCCAGGCCGTCCTGGCTCAGCCCCCCTCGCTGTGGGCGCCTGCGGTGTGGACCGGGAGGCGGGCCCTGCTCCTTCCCAGGAGGGCCTGCCGTAGAGGCCGTGGCCTCTCTTCTTGGCGGCAACCGAATCCCAGTGCCTCCCCCCCGGGCTGCTGAGCACAGGGAGCACGCAGCCTCTGAATGCAGCTCCTCTCCCCGCTAAGAACACGTGCCCTCCACAAGCCGCCCAGTGGGGACGGGCGAGATGTGCTCGATGGCCCCGAGGGGACGTGCCTTGGGTGGGAGCCACTCGGGCAAAGCTGGTTGGCGCCCAGGGCCCCGCCCAGTGCCCGCATGCCCATCAACGGGGATCTCAACACCATCCCCACGGCCACGGCCACGGCTGGGTTTTCTGCAAGCGGCCTCTGCTGATTTGTAGAAAAAGCCACCCCTTTTGATGTAAAAAGTGCAGGTTTAAGGAGAGCTTCCGTGGGACCTGCCTTTGGTGTGAACGGCAGGAGGGAGGCAGGGCTGCTGGCAGAGAGCGAACGGTGACCGAACGGGCTTGACCCCGTGAGGACTCCAGGGCGCACCGGCTGTTACTAGCCGTCTGGGAGGAGCCACAGCTCATAAGCGCCCCCAATGGCTATTGTGTGCGGAAGGTGCCGAGGTCACCAAGGCCCAATTCCAACAGCCACGCGGTCGTCTGCAGCTGGGCCGGGCCGGGGCGGCGGAGTGAAAACTCAGGGGCAGGCTCCTCGCCGCTGCCACCAGGGCTGCCAGGGTGCGAGGAGCAGGGCGGATGGAGCGCGGGGGAATGGGGGAGGTTGTGTGTGCGCCTTGAACTCTGTGCCTACGGTGGGGCTGGGCAAGGAGGCGGCAATGAACACACTCCACTCCCACCGCTGAGCATGGGGGGCCCTGATTAAAGCCCCCAGGGAATGCCCACCATCACCGGGCATGCACCTGGAATTCCACAGGGAGCTGTGCAGGCCCTCGACCAGGCCCCGGAGCGGCCAGCGGCACCCGCACCCTGACCTGGGCACAGGCCTGGCGTGTGCACCTGCTCACCCTCCTGCCTCCTGAGGACGTTTTCAAGAGGTTGCCCTTCCATGGTGTCATCTCTCCGCTCCCGGAATCAACTAAGCCCATCCCTCAGTGACGGGGTGGCACGGGGCACGGCTGCCCCCTGCCAACCCTGCAGGGTGGCCCCCGGAGTGGCCGGGAGCCACGGGGCCGGGCTGGCCACACACGGGGGAGGTAAGTGGGTCTGTCTCCCCACCCCACGTCTGCCCCACATAGATGGCCTCTGACAAGCACCCCAAGCTGTTCCCTGGCCCCGAGAGTTCAGACGCGGAGGCCCCCCGGCCCCGGGCCTCTGTCTCTCACTTGGAATTAAGGCCACTCGGGTCTGGTGCTGCTGCAGAAGGAAGCGCCTCCGGAACCTTCCAGCCTGAGGCGGGGCCCAGAGGCAAGGCACAGAGTAAGACTGAGCTAAAGAAGCTGGGGGCGACCCCCCATGGAACCTGAGCAGGAGGCCTAGAAGGACCCGACACCCCGGGATGGGCCTGAGGCCCCAACAAGCCCCGGAGGGTCAAACCCCAGCCAGGGCAGCAGGCAGAGCGGGGATGAGTGCGCGGCAGGTGCCTGGGATACGTGGGGCCCACGTCCCACGAGGAAAAGGCGGGGAGACCCAAACCCACAGCAGTTCTGTGGCCCGTGGCCGCGCTGGGCAGGGCCGGGCTCCATTCCGCTGCGTGGCGTGGCCGGGTGGGCGCCCTGGGCCGGGAGCTCTGCGAGCAGGAGCGCCTCTGTGCGAGGAGGGGGCGCGCTCCCGGGGACCCGACTCCTTCCGGACGCTTTCTCAGGCCCCGGAGTGGGGCTCCCACTTCAAGCGCCTGCCCGTGCCCAGAGCGAGGCCGTGGATCCTGGTGCCCAGAGGGAGGCCGTGCCCAGAGCGAGGCCGTGGATCCTGGTGCGCCACCTGCCCGGGGCCGGGTCTCAGTTATTCTCTATTTGTTCAATATCCAACTCGCCGTCCAGGGAGCAGGGGCTGCTCTCGGCCACCCGGTCCCGCCAGGCAGGGGCAGGCTCCCCCCGCCGGCCACAGCCCCCGTCCGGGGCGCGGCCCTCCGCCTCCTCCCAGCACAGCTCCTCCTTGCAGGCCAGGTCATCGAAGGAGGGGGCGAGAGGCTCGGGCACCGGGGTCCCGGCCGGGGTCCTGCCCCCGGGCCCGGAGGCAGCGGCGGAGAACAGGGCGGCCCAGGACCTGGTGCTGCCGACGTGGAGGGCGAAGGGGCTGCAGGGGCCGCGGTCCTCCATCCCGGAGCTCAGGCAGCTCAGGCTGCTGAAGGTCTGGCAGTTCTGTGGGCGAAACACACACAGGTTACCAAGGGTCACGCCCCCTCCCGGAACCCAAGGACCCCGGCCCCCCAAGCCAGGCCCATGCCCGCCAGGCGGGGGCAGACCACCCAAATCCTGGGCTCCTCCATCGTCTGGAAGGAGAAGGGGCCGCTGGCCACTCACTCGGGAAGACAGGCCTGGGCCCACAGTACATGCTGAGGTGCGAGAGCCTGGCTGCAGGGCGCAGGGCGCAGGGCGCAGGGGCCGAGCGTGGACCTGTGACCCAGGAGGTCCGGCTTCGATTCCCGGTCAGGGCACAGGCCCAGGTGTGGGCTCCATCCCCAGTAAGGAGTGTGCAGGAGGCAGTCTATCTGCGATTCTCTCTCATCATGGATGTTTCTCTCTCTCCCCCTCTCCCTTCCTCTCTGAAATAATTAAAAACACATTTTTTAAAAAAAAAATACAAAATTCAGTGAGTCCCCTACAAAGTGGCAAAGGGCACAGGCTTGGCAGCACCCACTTCTGGGGAGGCCGCAGGGGCAGGCTCCAGGCCCTCGGGCACCTTTCCGAAGGGTGACCTGATCAAAAGGAACCCGATGCCTTTGGGCAATCCCAGGTCTGGGATTTATCTGAAGACTCTTTCGGGTGCGTGCACACTCCAGCCCCAGGACTGACTGTGCCTCCCACACGGTTCAGCTGAGAGGAGAGTCACCCGAACCCTCCACCGCGGCTCCAAGCAGGCCTTGCAGACAAGGGAGGCTCTTGAGCCACTGGAAGAACATTCCGCAGTGAATCTACTGACGCAAATGGAAACGCGCCAGCTGCGCTGCTGCACAAAGGGGCACAATGCCCACCCCACCCACTGGCCCAGATCGGGGGGGGCGGGGTGTAGGGCTGAGCTGATGCCTGGCCTGGGCTGGGTGACACCAGCCAGCAGCGAGCTGGTTTCCACGGGAACCAGCCCCGCCTGAGATGCTGAGATGCTGGCGCTCCGGGAGGAGGCTCCAGGCCTCTGACAGCACTCAGGGGTGCCGCAGGGCTCAGCAGGAGGGCCTCGGGCAGACCCCTTAGCCCCCCCAGGCCGGCTGCCTCCTCTATCAGAGGCCCCAGCAAGAGGGCGCGGCTGACGAGAGCTCCTGGTCCAGGGCTGGCCTCATGGGCCGGCTCAGAGGGACCCCAGGCGTGGAGAATGCTCTGCTTTTGCCATCTTGAAATCCAAAAGTCTTTAAAAAGGGCCCCGCATTTTCACAGCTCATTATCTTTGCTCCCTGAGTTTAAAAAGAACCCCGTTCCCCCACCCACTGCTGCCTCTGTGTGGGACCTGCCTGTGCAGCGGGCACAGCCTGAATGCCACCCCAGGGTGCTGGGCCCACTTGCTCACGACAGGGGGCAGGGCCGCATGGCGCACACGTGGCTGAGTCAGACGTCGGTTTTCCCAGCAGAGGGCTGCCAGCCAGGGGCGCGCACCCGGCCCGGCCGGAGGTCCTCCCAGGACCAGAGCAGGGCAGGCCTTCCAGGGACCACGGGAGAGGGGTGCGGGCGGGACCTGCGCACCGCACGCCGCCCAGGCCGAGGCCACAGGCTCCCGAGGGCCAGTCCTCTCCCAGCCCACGTCTGTGTCCCTCGAACGGAAGCTGACCACTGCTGCCCCGGCCAGCTGGCTGCCTCAGGGAACAGGTTCGGGGACCGGGAAATAAAAGCCTTTCCCGGGAGGTGCCTTGTTTCTGAGCGCCACGGAGGATGCTGTTCTGGTGGCTTGGCTTTGCTCGGAATCTTCTGATTAACCAGAAAGGTGAAGCCTGGGTTGGGGGGCGGGGTGCCCCGGGGAAAAGCACTGGGATTGAGAAGGGCTGGGCCCCCGATTAGACCTCCAAGACCCCAGAGGCCAGAGGCCAGCCCAGGCGAGACAGGAGCCCGGCTGCAGCCCCGACCTGGGCCACGGGGGGTTCAACGAGCCCCCACCCCTTCCGCTGAGTCCACACAGAGTATATGCCCTCCCCCCACATGGCAGGAGGCCGCTGGCGGCTTCTCATGCAAAATAGAGGATCCCAGGTCAGAACACAATCTGAGGCTGGGTGGGCAGAAGCCCCAGAGGCCTGCGATGGGGAGCGGGGGGGGAGGTGTCTTGGAGGCCCCTTCTGCCTCCCAGCCACTGTCCCGACTGGCCCAGACCTGAGCCAGGACAGAACTGGGTCGGACGCAGGAAAGAGGGCCCAGCCCAGACAGGGAACTCACCCCCACGCCGGCCTGTGTCCCAGGCCACCGCCCCAGCCGCCCAGGCAGCAAGGCCCCGAGCAAGCGTGGCCAGGGGGCGCGTGGCACTCAGAGGCACCCCTGAGTGGTCTGTGTCACCCGCAGAAGTGGGGGGGACCCCACAGATGGCGATGGGACTCTGCTATAAATCACACCATCCGACCTCAGCCCTCTCCAGGAACCTCAGCCCAAAGGGCTGCGAATGGTCATGGGGACATGGGACCTCACACCTGCACCCCACAGGCTGACACTGAGCAGGTGACACGGGGCCTCACGCCTGCGCCCCACAGGCTGACGCTGAGCAGGTGACACAGGACCTCACGCCTGCACCCCACAGGCTGATGCTGAGGTGACACAGGACCTCACACCTGCACCCCACAGGCTGACACTGAGCATGCGCCACCGTCTCCGGAGCTGGAGCTGGAGCTGGAGGATGGTGGGAGCACAGGTGCAAACAGGACAGAAAGCTCCTGTGTCTGCGTGGGCATTCCCTGCTGCCCGGATGGTCCTGTCTGACTTCATGGCACATGGGAGTGTCCGGGCCATTGCAGACCCGGCTTGGCCTGGAAGGGGCACCAGGGCTTCAGATGAGCCCCCCTGACCTGCCCAATGAGGGGGCTGAGGGTACCAGGGCCACTGCTCTGCGCTCTGGACCCATTGGGTCCCTGCTCGGCAGCAGGCGAGAAGCTGCGAGGTTCAGCTGGTACATGAGTCAGCCCCAGGCCGCCAGGGGGGCCCCCCCACCCCACCCCCACCCCACCAGTCCTCAGGCACCTGCGCCTGGGCTGCAAAGCCGAGGTCACCTTGAAACCTTGTTGACTCAAAACTCAGCCGCAGTAAACACCCAGGCCCGCCTCCTCCAATTATGCCCAGGCGGTGGCACGCCCCTGCCCCACCTCCTCCGAGGAATGCCTGGGCGGTGGCACGCCCCTCCGGCCGGCCAGGAGTGTGACGGCCACAATGGGGCAGTGTGTGTCCCCCACACTGACCTCCAGAGTACATACCACGCCAGCCCTGCGGCTGCCCTGTGCCCACCACGCCCTGGCAGGGGCCAGCCCAGCCGCTCCTGGAAGCTGACGCAGCCCGGAAACCCAGCTCCCAGCTCCCAGCTCCCCAGGAGGAAGGCTGCAGGGCTGCTGGAGGCCTGTGTGCCCTGCCCTCAAGGATGTCTGGGGCCCCGCCGGCCTGGCTCAGTGGTTTAGCATCGACTTATGAAACAGGAGGTCACAGTTCAATTCCGTCAGGGCACAGGCCCGGGTTGCAGGCTCATCCCCAGTGTGGGGCGTGCAGGAGGCAGCTGATGTATGACTTTCTCATCATGGATGTTTCTATCTCTCTCCCTCTCTCTCCCTCTCCCTTCCTCTCTGAGATCAATAAAAATACTTAATTTTAAAAAATGTCTGGGGACCAGCAAAGCTTCAGCACCACATGAGCACATCCTCTGGGTGAAATGGCAGCATTGGGACCAGTCCCCGCTCCCAGCACCGCCCGGGGGAAGGGCCGCCCACGTGGGTGGGCACAGGCCGGCCCAGCCAACTCAGCCTCAGGCTAGTGGCTGAAGACATGGTCAGCACCCAGTCCTACAGTCTGGGGTGACTTAGGAATGAAGCCCCCCAAAGTCAGATCTCTCCCAGGAGACCAGCCAGGCCTCAGCTGCAGCCGCGTGTCAGCCCACCCCACCTGCTCCCAGGTCTTCCCAGCCGGGTCGGGAGGGGGGGGGTGCGGGGGGGAGCGTGACCCCCTTCCCCACCCGGCCGCTCTGCGCCAATATTCGTCCTGCGCTCTCCTCTGGTGGGCAGTCCCTGTGCCGGGCCCTGAAGTCAAAGCCGGGTGCGGGGGCAGCTGTCCTGGGCCTTAGGGGGACCACATCTAAGGGGCTCTTCACACGGCTCGCCGTGAGGCTGACCCTGTCCACTCCCCTCTCCCCCTCCAGTGTCTGAGAGCCTCCCCATTCGGCCCTGAACCCCCCTCAGGCTCTGCCTCCAGGAACCAACGAACTGCCGGGAGCATCTCCCTCTTTTCAAGTCCAATTTGACGGCCCGGCCGGAGCGGCTCAGAGTGTTGGGCGTCGCGCTGTGCACCCAAAGGCGGCCGGTGGGTTCCCGGTCAGGGCACAGGCCAGGATGAGAGCTCGATGCCCAGCAGGGGGCGTGCAGGAGGCAACGGATATTGTTCTCTCACATCATTGATGTTTCTCTCTCTCTCCTCCCCCTTCCCCCACATGTCCCCAGGTGAGGACAAATAAATAAAATCCAACTGACCGATCTCTGCGTTACAGATTTGGGATATAACGACCCCAACCTAAAGTCAGGGGATCAGATCAGCCACCAGCCTGGCCTTCGCTTCCTGAAGCCACAGCTGCTGTGCCGGGAGCCGCGGCCGAGCGCAGGCATTTCCTCCCCACACAGACACCTACAGAGTCCTCCCAGCATCAGGGAACCAGGCCCGAGAATGCCGCCTGGAAGGTTCCTAATTACGCTGGAAGCTGGCAGAGACCAGGATGGCAAGGCCTGTGGCTTCCTGGGTGGTTTCTTTCTACCTCAGAAAAGAGCGAGAAGAACTAGAATATGGGGCCTCTTTGATCTCGCTTAGATAAACCTGAACTTTGCATGGAGGCTGGACACTCGGGTGCTGGGTGACCCGGCATCACTGTGAAACGCTTCATTAACGGTTACCCTCGGGAGTGAGGCAGCAGCAGCCAGGGGGCTGAGGTCTGAGAGCAGAAGAGAAAGCTGCCTCGGGGAGCCTTTGGGGCCCCGTGAGCACCC